AAGACCAGTGGCGGCCAGACTGTGAGTGGCTGCAGCACCAATCCCTTTCTGCAGACTGGCGGCAGCAGTGGTGACAAACGCACTCGCACCACCAGCACACAGTTCCCGGAGATGTTTCAGGACAAGGAGGTGCAGGCGTCCTTTGAAGAGGACGAGAGCAAGGATGCGCCCGTCCTAGTCTACTACCCCAACTACTCCCTGCCTGATCTTAGCTTTCTGCAGGACATCTTCCGACAGGACAACCACTCTCGCCAGCCCATTTACCTCTCTCCGGTGAAACACGAGCCGCCAAAGATGGCCGCTGACGGAGGCAGTGCTGGCACTTCGACAGCAGCCAGTGGAGAGGTGAAACGGCGAGTGGCGACGGGCAGCAGCAGTGCCACCACACAGCGAAAGTGCCGACCAAAGTCCTACACTGACTATGAGACGCTACTCAGCCAGGACCTGTGCGAGATCAAGGACTGGGACTCGCTGAACCTGCTGCTGCCGGACGACTTTAGGGAGTTCATTGAGAAGAACAACTTGCTGAGGACGCCCTCCAACAGCAGCACCACCTACACCAGTGAACAGCAGCAGCAGTTCGGGCAGCCTGGTGCCTACCCCATCAGGACGACCATTCCCAACAGCCGAGCGCCGCACTCGGTGAAGATGCGATCTCACGCTCGACGGGAGCAGCCGTCGACGAAGCGGTACTCCCTGCAGGAGGCGCATTACGACTCCTCCAACCAGCAGTACTACTACCAGAACAACCCACACCTTCGGTACTACCAACCGACGGAGGGAGACGGACAGCACCACCACCACCATCACCACCACGATCTGGCCAACCAGCTGAACATGACGCGCAGTCAAACGATGCCCAACTGCCAGGCAGGCGGCTTCCAGGCAGTCGGTCCTTCCATGATCGGCGGTGGTGGCGGGCCCTACTGTCCTCCTCCTCCTCCTCCCCCGTCGGCCAATTACTACCAGCACTTTCAGCAGCAGCACCAGCACGGCGGCAATCCTTGCTGTGGCCACGCCTGCTGTCACTCTGGCTGCCACTCGCCTTCCTTTCACTCCTCGCAGAATTCGCCCTCTTCGAAGCCTCCGAACTTCAACTGGGAGATGCTCTCTTCGTCTCGCTTTCAGAAGCTGCTCTCCTTTCTCAGTAAGCTGGACGAGTGCGCGCCGGACCATTCCGACCACTCGACCAGCACCACCAAAGCGGATACGCAGCAAAGCAAGGCCGCCAGCCATAATAATAGTATTACCACTGCTAATGAACAAAGAGGTTCGGCTCAGAAACGGGCCAACAGGAGTAGTGCCACTGTGGAGCGCGAACAGGCAGCAGTGACACCGCCTAACCGAACAACAAGGCCATCTTCGATGAGAGCCCCTTCCAGGTTGGAGCACAAATCAAAGACAGTGTCTACTGGCACAACAACACCAACTGCAGCAGCAGCCCCAGTGACTAACAAACAGCAGTCAGTAGGCAGTGGCAAAGTGGGTGCAAACCTACTGTCCAAGGCAACTTCTCCGATGAGTACCAACCGCGAGGTGGCCAGTCGACGATCAGGCAATGCCGCTCCAGAAACATCAAAGACAAAGATCATTCTCAAGCGGCCGACGACACTGAAGAATCATGGCGGAGGCGGTGGTGGCGGACATTCTGGCATTCCAGTGCCGAAGCGCACCTCCTCCAGGTCGATGATTCCGACGCCTCTGTCTGTCGGCTTGAGACACTCAGGCAAGGAGTCAACACGGACCAAAGAGCGGCTCAAGGGCAGTGCTAATTCGCAATTCTAGTCACACAGACAGACAGATAGAGACACTGTTACTTCCTTAATTGATAACTTTATTTTTGATATTATTTAATTTATTTTCCTTTTTTGTTTGCAATTATTTTGTGTGTCATTGACGTCACATTAACCCTCTTCCTCCTTTCCTTCCTTTCCTTTTTCTTTCACTTTCCTTCACTACAATACACACCCACACACCCACTTATTTGTGCAATAATGGCCCGCATTTAGCCTTCTCCGGAAACAAACGTTGTATTGATCAGCAAGAAGCGGAAACAAAGAACAGCGTTTTGATTTGCACGCAAATAAATAGAGCTAAAACAGGAGACCAATGGAGAGTTGGGGTGTTTGAATTGTAAAATACCTCGGCAATTAAACATTGTCAACACGTCAAAAGTTGCCGGAAATCTAAGATTAAAAATTAAAACAATTTGAAGAGAGATAGGGGTGTGTGGATGACGGCCCCAGGGTAATTGTGATAGTGGGGCCAGTCAGGGTCCAATTGGCATCTGCATGATGCACTGCCACCGGCACCTCACTCGGCGGCAATGATGCGCACGGTGTTGGTGGAGCCCGAGCCGGCCTTCCACCCGGTGACCACGACAATGGTGTCGCCCTTGGCAATCACGGCGAGCTGCTTGCCCAGGTTCAGTCCCACCTGAATGCGATTGTCCACGTCTCGGGGCCAGTCATCGGACTTGGGCGTGTCGACGACGTACGGGAGAATGCCGCGGTAGAGGTGCGCCTGACGGGCGACCATGGCGTTGCGAGTGATGGCCAGAATCGGACAACGGGGACGGTACTTGGAAATGAGGTGCGCAGAGCGACCAGTGGTCGTCAGCACAATGATCGCAACGGCGCGCGATTTCAGCGAAGCCTCGACGGCGGCCACGGCCACAGCGGTGTTTGTGTCGCACGGAATCGGGGTCTTCAGGCTGAGCTCAATGAAGACGCTCTGGGAAGAAAGAGAGAAAACAGTGATTAAAGCGGATTTTTATCTGAAATGCCTACCTTGGTGAAGAGAGCTGCCTCTGCTTCCAGCGAGACGGCGTGCATCATCGAGACAGCCTCCAGCGGGTAGTCACCCTTGGCCGTCTCACCAGACAGCATCACACAGTCGGCGCCATCGAGAACGGCATTGGCTACGTCGGAGACCTCGGCTCGAGTCGGACGGGGCTTCTTGATCATGCTCTCCAGCATCTGAGTGGCGCAGATGACCGGCTTGCCGGCAACGTTGCACTTGGCAATCATCATCTTTTGCGCCAGAAAGACCTTCTCGGGAGGAATCTCAATGCCCATGTCACCGCGGGCCACCATGAGGCCGTCACTCTCACGAATGATCTCGTCAATCTTCTTGACGCCCTCGTGGTTCTCCACCTTGGAGATGATCTTAATGTCGGCGCCATTGTTCTGCTGCAAAATCTGGCGAATCTCCTTGACGCCGTTGCCGTTGCGAATGAAGGAAGCAAAGACCATGTCCACCTCGTTCTTGCAGCCAAACACCAGATCCTCCTTGTCCTTCTCGGAGACGGCGGGCAGATCGACAAGAGCGCCGGGCAGGTTGACGCCCTTCTTCGAGCCTAGTCCGCCGCCGTTCTCAATCATGCAGATGAGGTAGTCGGGTCCTGGAAAAAGTGTGTCATGATTTGGAAACTTTCTAAAACCAAATAAGAATGCTTACCAACTTCCTCGACGATCAGCGAGATGAGTCCGTCATCGACGTAGACGCGACTACCCTTGGACACCACCTTGACAATGTTTTTGTAGTCGAGGTAGACGACGCTGAGAGAGCACTTCTCCTTGAAGGAGTCATCAGTGGTCAACTTGATCTTGTTGCCCTTCACCAGTTCAATCTCAGCGCTGGCTCCCTGCAAAATGAAAGATTATTAACATGACTCATCACAACCAAAAATGATGACGTTTACGTACACCCTCAAGCAGACCGGTACGGATTTCCGGACCTTTGGTGTCCAGAGCAATGGCAATGGGCAGATTGGGGATGCCCAGCTCCTGGCTGGCAACCTTGGCAGCCTCACGCACATTCAAAATAGTTTGCAGATGGTACTGGCAGAACAACAAAAGATTAGTTTTGTTTGTATATTACAATATTCTTTTGCCACAAACCTCGTGAGTGCCATGAGAAAAGTTCATGCGGGCCACATTCATGCCAGCCTTGATCATCTGCACCAGCTTGGGGATCTCGCGAGAGGCAGGACCTGTGGCAAAAACATGGAAACTGTCAGATTGCAAACCAGTCATTAGGTGTTAACAACAGACCGATGGTGCAGACGATGCCGGTCTGACGATGAAACGGGGGCTTCGAGTCAATGTCAAGCGCACTGAGCGAGTCCAGACGAGAGTCGGCGTCGTTGGCACGAGCCTGGAAAGCAGGAGTGTCTTCAGCCATGGTGCTGTACTTTGGGCGATTTTTCTCCAAAAGCTTGCTAAATGGGAGAAAACAAAGAAGGTCATTAGATGTCATTTGGCAGGAATACTAGTAAACGATAAGATGAACCTCAAAACTTCGATATGCATGGTGAAGGAAGGAAAATGCGAGGCAGATGAAGCACAAAATAAGAGCACTGATCGAGAACGCGTACAACAAGCTAATGCCAAACTAGCCATTGGACTGAGCGCGTCACTGGCTAGTCAGCAAATCGAACTTCTACTCTAGCGGTACATTTGTCATTTCGAATTTGACCGACATTCAAATTGAAACGTGTAGCATAGCCGCGCGAAACACCAATGCAAGAGGACATGTTTAAGAGTTTGCATCTTTGATGACTTACCGCGGTGATCACTAAAGAATATCTTGAAGAGAAGCTTCTGTGTCTGTGTGTCAATGTGTGTGTGTGCGGCTGGCACAGACGAGGTGACTTCTGTGTTTGGCGGAAAATCAAGTGTGCGAGAGAATGCAGCAAAAACTTCTCTTCCTTCAGTGTTCTACACCAGTTGAAGTGCCAATACACACACACAGACACCAACACCAAATGAAGGTCGAGTAAAAATGCACACCGATGTAAGCTGGCTGCAGAACATGCGTTGATCGGTTAGATGGTTATATATAACCGACAGAACCACCAGCATGCGCCGAGCCGATGGATGAAGTATATGTGCCAGTGTATATGAGTGTATACGACTGTGTGAGTGTGTCAGTGTTCAGCTGATGGAAAATCGACGACAGCTCCAATGCTGCACCGGTCACCGGTGCCAAGTGTACAGCACACCATATGATGACATTGAGCAATTCTTTTCATCAGTCAACTGGATCTATCATCACTACCACCACCAGACACTACAGTAGCGCCACTTTAAATGTAATCGACTGATAAAGAACAGAAAATCTGTCAGTTTTTTGTCTCGTTAAAAAATCTGATTCTTGTGTTGAATTGTCTTGAAACTTTATTACATAAGAATTTGTACAATTTTATA